TGCACGAAGTGCACACCTGCATGGTTAGTTGTTCGTCTTTTACAACAATCCCTGATCTCGCCAACAATATCCCTGCCAGTTCAGCACTCAGACCCGACATATCGTAGTACGTTCGAAGTTCCGATGGGAGTGGTTTTGGAGGTTTTAGTCTGGTTTTCATTGACTGCAGAAGATACGTGCCAGAATCAACTTTTTCCACCTTGACGCGCGCCGCAGGGTGCATACAGTCACAGACACAGCAAGCAAGTTCTTTTAGCAATCCACCCGAGAGATATTTGGCTCCACGTTCGGACGTACGCTTTTCCATTTCGTCAAAATGCTTTAAGAAGTTGTTAACAGCCGCTAAAGTTTTGCCTTCAGGTCCGACACTGGATGTTCGCCGATGCTTCCTTTTTACAAGTTATACAACATGATCACCCTCCCTCATTGATGCTCGAGCTTTTATTTCATGTTTCGATCACGAGCACGCGCGTTATTCGCGAGTTGCTGAGAGCAAGCCTGGCAAAACGGTACTTTGTGAGTTAATTGTGAGCGAATGGGTCTATTCGCCATGCAAGTACATGACACTCGCTCGGAATGCATGGTGCTTTCTAAGCAGAATGGTGCCTTTTGAGTGAAATCATCATGTGACGGCAAGAAAGAAACAAACAAACCATTTAGTACACCCAACAACGCGACTTGGAATTTCCAGGTGCCCAATGACTATGGATGGCTGTTTCCGCACCTAAATATCAAGGTAGGTAGGAGTCATTTTGAACGTTCGAATTACGATTCTACCATGCGACGCTGCCATATTAAATGTTCAGGTTCCGCAATCACATCACTTAATGATATGCTCAAAACAAACTTGTATATTTAAGTGAAGAAACACTTTTACGGGTCAACACGGATGAAAACGACAATTGAACATTACACGAGTCTGTCACGGCAGTTGGGTTTGGCACACAGGCACTTAAACCATAGTTTCTCGCGGGTGTACTCCACCGTTATTTCTTCACCAGCTGAAATATCACGAATTGCAAAGATGCCTATACGAGGTCCATCGCACGATAAAAACTCGACCCATTTGCAGTTAGGCGCGCACGAATGGTTGATAAATCTGGATTCATTTCCACACTTGCCGGCATCTATGAATATCTTGTCATTCCGAATCGTCGTTGTTGCTACCTCGATTATATAGTCGCGACTTCGCTCACTCTTGATACTCTCAAATATGAGTTCGCCGACATACTCAAGCACAAACGATCCTTTTGCCAAGAAGGTTGATGGAGCTAGACCCAGAGCAGTACGCGTTTGAATAATGTTGAAGGAATGTGTCCGGATAAACCGATTACCGCGGCCAAGACCAATTGTACAATTTCTGTCGTCACAAAGGATCTTGGAGTGATAATTACCACAACAAGAGCCATTCTCATCGTAGCACATCTGGTGCTTGCAATCACAGGAGTAATCATCTTGGACAGGGTAAATAGGACGAGTAGCGCCTCCATTGGAAAAATTCGTCCAGAATGTCACGACACCGGGCGGCCACAGCAGGTCTATGGCTGTGCTGGATTGACAGTAAATCGCGGATTGAACATCTTATCAGTCGATTTGTGTTCATCCGTGCAATGTCAACCTGCTCGAAGTACGACCACGTATTACACCAGGCAGACGTTGGACAGCTAATAACGGGCAACGTCCGAGGATGTAAGCAGAGCACTTCGTTGTGGGTGCCAATTCATTATTTACATCGCCTGGTACAGTATGTGTTACCACTGGGCTGTATGAGGTCTGGTTCTCATTGGGTAGGTTCTACGGTCGATGAATTTGCGTTAAGTCCATGTGTTCGAGCTTTCGCCTAAAGTTTTGGGTACGAACAAGAAGACGATAAAATATTCGTGTTGTTGCTGTTGTGACTTTACAACAACGACACTCCACAGCCTTATTCATGTCAAATCTCAAGCTATCTGCGTCACTATTCGAAGGCACTCGTCTGATACGGAATCGATAAAGTTTCACAGAAGCGTCATAGCGCTTTCGCTCTCCCGCTGATATCTCTACAGCATTGCTGTAATTTTGCATGCTCAATTTCGTCAATCCCCAATACTACATGTTTGATCGATATAATGCATCATCCGATATCAGGCAAAACTGGTTAAAATTTTAAGAATCAAAGTTAGAAAATTTGCTCGTTCATTCTTGTACAGTAATGGAAGTGGTGATGCGTGGTACATGTACAACGGTTCTGTATATATCAGCAAACTCGTGTCATCCCCGCCCCCCCCCTCCCAACACGCACACAGACACAGGCAAACACAAGGGCACGCGCAGAATGCTAGCTGCAACGGCAAGGTAAATATTTGAACATCCTACCCAGCTCACTTTTTAATTGTCCACAAGAAGTATGGAGCTGGCTGATCTTCTTCGATCCAGGATCAAGCGCAAACGAGAAAACGCCCACCAGTCTTCGAGAAGACCCCTGACATCGTGGAAATGCTACCCAAAGTCGCTGCCGTCAATCCGCCAGATTCGACGTCCACGCCCTCAGAACCCGCCAAAATGCCGCCGTACATCAGTTTAGATATGTACATCGCGTTTCGAGAAGAGTTCGCAAGTGGATGGAACATCTGGCTAAGTGACGAACAAGTTACGAAGTTGGAGCCGGAACTGAAACAGGAGATGCCGGCAATGAGCCTTGATGAGAAGGCAGCCATGTTTTTCCGACTTTCAGTGTGGGCCAACAAGAAGCAAGACCCCGACATTCAAAACGTCACTGAGATCCCCGATGGAGCGGAAGTGTACGTCGAACGAGTGACGGGGCTGGCCTTGTTCGAAAACAAAATGGCTCAAGGCAACACGAATCGCATCGAGATGGTCACAAAAGTCGAAGTCACTGATTCCGATCTCGAGAACACCACTCCTCCCCCGAAGCTGAGAGTCAAAGCACGGAAGGCAACCAAACTGACGCCGAGCGCCTTTCGCCTAAATTGCCAAAGAAGCGCAGAGCTGGGAAGACAAGCCGGGACGTCGTGGAGCCTGGCACAGGCGAGGAATACCTTCTCGCACAACAGCCAAATAAGGCACGAGCACCAAAGAAGCCGAAAACGGAGTAAGCTCGCGGTTACGTCACCTGACTGATAGGCACTGGCAATCTATCTGGACAAGGATTGCTGTACACCATATAACAAATATATGATGTCTGGTTGTCTCTTTAAACATCAGTAGGCCCGCGCACCGATACGAATCGGGCATGCAAAGTTTGTTAGCGCTCTTTATAGTCACAATGAATCGACGTTAGCAAAATACCACGTACAACTTCGAGCTCGACGTTGTTATATAGATACAAGTAGTATGAGGCCTTGGACAGACGCCGTGCAACATCCTGAGGTAAGTAAAGCAATAACGCAAACGGTTTGAAGGTCGAGTAGCGTAGTATGTGTCCTTGGTGCTGGAGCAGCGCAAAACCGCTACCGAATTCACCGGTTGTATATCCAAAACCACCACCAGTGGCAGGTGCCCCAAAAGCCGACGAAGCAGCAGGCACAGCATGAAAGGCACTGCTTGTGGCCGGTGCGCCGAATCCTCCAGTGGCAGGGCGTGATGCACTACTTCCAAACAGATCACCGCTTGTGGCGGGAGCATTAGGCTGCGATTCAAATCCACCAAAACTGCCAGTTGTTGTAGACGTCGTAGCTGAGCCAAAAGCGAACGATCCAAAGCCCCCCCCCCCGCTAGAGGTAGCACCTAATGCAGATGGCTGAGTGTTGCCAAAGCCTCCTGTCGCTCCAAAGGCTGAACTCGCTGCTGGTTGCGCTCCGAAGCCTCCGACCGCTCCAGTTTCAGTCGTCGTAGCTTCGGGTGCCGGAGCATTCTGCGTGGCTGCCGCCAGTGCCGCTGCTGGGTTCGTGCGCTTCAAGTAGTCTTCATACCGCTGTGATCCAAATAGTCCGGGAGACAGACGCCGTATGTGTGAATGAGTGACGTTGTTGTTTGAATGTAATATTGATAGCTACTCAAGTGTTCTGTTGCGCGAATGTCGTTCTTCACCGACTGGGTCAACATTCAGCCATTGTATCATAACGTTTTAGTAATTATCCAGTATTGCGTCATTATTGTACCTGATTTGTTTTTAGTAGCTGCAATCTATTAAGTACAGAAGTACGTTCTTATGCGTTCTTATAGGATCCACGACGGTTCTGGAACCCACCTAAGGGCCGTTCTTAGCCGATTTCTTGCAAGTGGATGAGAGTTAAGGTGGATGGTACTTTTTGTGCTTGATTCGGCTAAGAACAAACTTAAAACTGGTGGATGGCCTTAGTGGCTAAGGTTGAAGGAGGGGTGGTTGACATCTAATATTAGCTTATAACTGCGATGTATCACTTTGATCGCTTTGCATTTGTTCTCTTCCACTATCGCAACAAAATGCGCACACCCAGCGAGATCATAGCGATCACTCGTCGTCTTCGCGATCGAGCCAACGTCCAACGGCGATAGATTGACAGGGGACCGTTGGTTGCTGATGTGGACTGAGTGCTTCAGGAGACTTGATGGAATGAGCTGTATAAACTCAATGTGTCGTTCTATCCCGTCAGGTATGTCTCTCCTCCGGTCCACCTTCCGTCCACGGCCACCAACCCTAATTTCACACAGTGGACGTGGATCAAACGGACCATACGGCGTCCACTGCCATATGGATCCAAGTGAAATGATTGGGCCATGGAAGCATAATCCACCGTTATTTTTTGGCTAAGAACGGCCCTAAGACTCTGGATATAAATATCCAGAGAACATGTACTTGTTTTGGGCTTTCCAAGTACATGTACATGTATTAAAGTATTAAGATTATGTAAATTTTCGTCAGTAGGGTGGCTAAATTCAGTTTGTTTATCTGCTCGATTATGCTTTTTGTCTTTTCTGTGCAGCGTTTGTGACGTTTTATTAATTAAACCTCCTTTTAAAACGAGGTTATTTATAATGATGATGCTCATCAAAACGTAGCTCTCTGTAGTGCGCAACGTGCCTTAGAGCATCATGGCAAACTGCGCGACAGCAGCCACGTCCTCCATGCTCGAATCTACACCAGCTGCGTCTTCAGGCAGTGAGCTACCTGGCTCCTCGAATGAGACCCAGTGTCCTCGATCGGAGCCCAAACCCGTTACCAAGAAGAGAACACGACGGACGCCGAAGAAGCGCGAGCCGAAGCCGAAGAAACCACAGATCCGCACGTACATCCGTCGGAGAGTGAGTGCACTACCGTATCCACTGCAATCTGTGCAACTATAATTGATGGATTGATTGTTGATACGGTACAGACGGAGATCGAGGAACTGACAGACGAGATGAAGAATCTCAAGAAGCAGATGGCTTACTTCGCATATAGGAACGAGGTTCTTAAGCAGCGTGAAGCTCTGGCGGAAAAGGAGATGATGAATAAGACAATACGCAATGCTCTGCATGCCCAAAGGCTGTCGTTCGCCAGCACCATGTCCATGGTCACGCAATTCTTCGTACGTATAGAACTAGTAGAGTTTTTTGTTTGTCATTCTGTGCTCAAGCTCTGATCGGTTATCTGAATCTCCAGCGTGACTCTGCTACGGAGCCATTTGACTTGCCTGCGAGACTCAATAAAGATCCATTACAGCGCCAAGCTGCTCTCTTACGAATGAAACACGATCGGCTACAAGTTGCCCACCACTTCATGCACCAGAGACAGCACTATCGATCGACATCGGAGTTCCGCGACCGAAAGAAATTCGAGGCGGCCAATGGAGATCTAGTGTCCATTCAATTCGAGATCATGCCTTTACCAGGAGCACGCAGCGTCAAGAATATCGTCGACGCCCTCCAGTTCTTTGTCTACAATCTCGAGATCAGTATTTCTGAAGCGGTGGGCGACATCACCATCCGAGAAAACGACGACGCAAAGGCTGGAAGTCCTGTAGCTCAGCATCGACTCGTAGCTACAGTGGCGGATATGGTGCAGACAGATACGAACAACGTGGCGTTCGCAGAGTATCGTCCTGCCGGACCTCCGGCTAGTGGAGAGCAAGAATTGGGACTCATGATCTGCGATACCGTAGATGAAGACGAGTTGTATCCGTATCGACCCGAAAGTCGCGTCAGGCAAGACATGACGCAGATCACGCAAATAGCGTGGCATCAGCACGAGGTTGGAGAGCCGATTATTGTCATGACGCGATGGTGGTGCTTGAGGATCCGGAAATCCGACATCTACATGCCGGCATTCGTCGTGGATCGGATCCGAACTGGTGTCGAGAAGGTCGGTGCAGCCATGTTTGCGACGGCTAGGCATGCAGGAGGAATGATCCTTTAGACGATAGAACTGAACAGGCCGGGATTCTTTTTGGTATAACAAAAATTGTTTTTTTTGTTTTTTTAAAATAGCGACGAAGTTACCCTAAAACTTCAAGTACGGGTAGTGCATATAATTGTTAGCTTGGAATTGTTGTTAAAAGACTTCAGCAGATGTGAATTCCCGTGTCATACGGACAAGATCACTGGGCGGACAGCAGATCCCAAAACGTGCGTGTAAAGTGGATTTGTTTAAGTACTGTATGGACCGTTCTCCGTGTGTAAGGTCGAGAGTTCTAGATCAAGATTACAATCGCAGAGCTTCATAACGCGATATGCTGCCACGGAAGCAAGTTGATCTCATGATTGGCAGTCCCTCATGCTCGACGTCCTCCAGCAGCGACGCTACTGGAGCCTCGGACGAAACTCAACCGGATGCTGCTCCAGTACCGCGACGGGCAGCGAAAAAACGAACGTCAACTCGCAAGCCGAAGCCGCCCAAGATCCGGACGTACACTCGACGACAGGTAAGCGTAGCTTCGCCTATGACGTCGATCCGCAACTCTTCGTTCTTAAAAATCATAATATTGTGCAGACAGAGATCAAGGAACTAAGAGACGAAATAAAGCGTCTGAAGAAGCAAATGGTCCAATTTGAGTCCAGAAACCAGAAACTCAGGCAACAAGAGGCGCTGGCTGAGCGAGAAATTATGAATAAACTAGTGCGGGATTCGCTTCACGCGCAGAGGTTGTCATTCGCCAGCACGACATCCATGCTCACTCAATTCTACGTACGTTTTTTATTCTTCTTTTAATTAGTATTATTTCGTCTCACAAGAATGGACACTTTTTTCTACTACAGTAGTACTACTGTAACAGCGCGATAGCGTTACCGAGCCTTTCGATCTGCCTGCACGACTCTGTCGAGACCCAATCAAACGTGAGACTGCTTTACTTCGCATGAGAAAAGATCGAATAGAAGTTGCGCTTAACTTCATGCTTCAACGAGAACACCACTATGCAACTTCGGAATTCTGCGACCGAAAGAGATTCGAGGCGACCAACGGCGACTTCCTGTCGCTTCGCTTCGAGATCATGCCATTACCCGGAGCTCGCTGTATTAAACAATCATTAACGCGCTCCAGGGCTTCGTTTACAATCTGGAGATTAGTATTTCTGAAGCCATAGGAGACATCGCAGTACGTGAAAATTACGACGCGATACCTGGTAGCCCCGTAGCGCAGCATCGACTTGTGGCTACGATCGGTAATACAATGCAGACCGACACTAACATTGTCGCGTTCGCAGAGTACCGACCGCCTGTCAGTGGAGAACTGGAGCTCGGCTTAATGATCGGCGACGCAGTGGATGAAGACGAACTGTTCCCGTATCGTCCAGAGACCAGAATTTGTCAGGACATGACCGTCATCACGCTAGTGGCGTGGCACGAAGCAGAGCGTCAAGAACCGGTAATTGTCATGACTCGGTGGTGGTGTCTGCGACTCCGAAGATCACACATCTACATGCCACCGAAGGTTGTGGATCGGATTTGCTCTGGTCTCGATAAAGTCTCACAGGCCATGCTCTCGACTGCTCGACGTGCCAGTGGCTTGAGCGTATGAAACCCGCCTCCAACAAAAGAGCTGCACATGAAGAAACAGATACATTGGCCCGTTTACAAATGTGTTTTTAACGTTGTTAAGAGGTTGCTCGAGCTTGGGCATTTAGTTCGTCCAGAACGTCTTCTGAGGTGATAGCAGCCTTTCGAGTAGATGCCGTTTTGAGCTCATCCAAGAAGTTCATGGGCGTTTTAGAGGAGGCTTCGGAGCTTGCGTCTCCGCCTGTTTTTCGCTTCATTTCGTCCATAAAGTTCAGCGGTTTTGTTGCAGTTGATGTAGCGTTGGCACTGGAAACTTCAAGCTCACTCGCAGAATCTGATGATTTGCGTTGAAAGCGATTCTGCAGTTCACCCAGGAAATTGACTTTGCCACCTCCGAATGGGGTCGGTGGAGGAGCGAAACCTTCAGGTTTGGACGCGGTGCCAGTCTCCTCTGCCTTCCGAGCTTCTACAAGTTTCAGAAGTGCCTTGGATTTAGGCTGTACCACCATCAGATCCTTGGCTACCTTAATGTCACTCTCCGTTGTACTCTTCGGTGTCGGCGGAGTCGATCGACGACCTCGTGGCGTCCTGACGACTTTTTCATCCTTTTGATGGCAGCTGTCCCTCTCCACTGACGCTGAGGCGCCAGATTTTCGGAATGGCGACTGTAAACGAACCTCTTTTCCACTTACCACACGCTTGGGGCTGCAGAAATCATTCTCAAGAAACTGCAGCACCCCAACTGCCACTTGAAGAGATTTAATTCGCTTAAAGCCGCGGGAAGGAGCTGCCTCCAAAGGCAAATCCGACGCTACTTCAGATTCGGTATCAACCGTCGACAATTTGTCTTCTAGTTGCATTAACCGTGTAGCTTCCAGCTCTGTGTCAGTCGAAGAGGACACTTCTACCACAGACAAATTATCGATTGGTGCTGCCGCTGCACTTGCCTCTTCGACTGTAACTTCGTTGATACTGAGACTGCGTTTCGCGATGGCATGATCCAGCTCCCGTTTCCTGGCTTCCGCTTCCTCCTCAACAGATAATTTCTTGAATGCTGCACGTTCTCGTGGCTGAATGTCAATATCCGCTGGAAAAGGTCCACGAATGCGAAATGCGTGGCGAATTTCGGGATCAAACGCTCGAACCTGCGCAACTTCCGCTTGGTACTGCTCGAACGAAGGCGTCATTGCTGCCCACGCACGGTCCCCGTGAGCCAATTCGCCTCTAACTGTATCTCTATCTTTACAGAGCACTAAATGTTGCTGCTTGGCTTGCTCCCGTAACGCGATTAGAGTAGCTTTACCGAATGAACGTTGTAAATTTTCGTTACGAGCATCCTCCGCAACTGCGACGTACTCTGCTTTCGCCTGTGGAATGAGCTCGTCGTCCAGTTGTTTCAACCGCATACGCTTTGATTCAATTCGAGCACGTTGCCGGTCAAATTTGTCCAATCTAGTATCAATTTCAATGTCTGTCGGGTAGCAAAAAATCGGATTAAGATGCTGCTTCGATGTAAGTTCTGGCAACGGAACATCTCGTCGTGAACATTGAACTGGATCCCAGCCAGCCTTAATCGTTTCACGCTGCTGCTGAGCAGCCAGTTGACGTACGTGATCAATAAAACTCGTTCTCCACGTATTTTTCCTACCATCTTTGTCAAAGGCGAAAACATCCGGCAGAACACGCGCCAAAGCTCGACGCTCGTTAACGTCGTAATTCATAAAGTCCACAAAGAACGAGGCGCTCTCAATAGCCAGGAAATTCGCACGAGCAATGTCGTCTTCATGCGTCACCAACCAGTGTAAGAACCGGTTTGTTTTAAGATAGGTAGCCAAGTCGTACGTGTACAAGACGCCTCTTTCTTGAGCTCTCGTGATCAACGCATCAACTGACAAATCAGCAATGTCAACAGGAATGAAAGTACGCATCAATGCGAGGCTTTCGTCGTTCTTTTCGCGTTGTTTTTTCTGCCATTCTGCCTCCTTCTTGCGCAATTCATCGGCGAATTCTTTGGCTTGTTCACGTCGCGTTCTCCAGATTTCGACATCGCGCATGGTTCGTTCTAGTTCAGCTTCAGTGTGTTTCAAATCATGTGCACGAGATGTAGTGATCTTCGCTGCCAGTTGAGTGGCTTGAGTGCACAAAGTGGATAATCTCTCGCTTCCTTGGGCACATTCAGGGATGGTTCGGAGAGTGTAAAGTAACGCACGCTTGATTTCTAGTGTGCGCTCTGAAATGACAAAAGAAGGGGATAAAATTTCAGCAGCGATGGAGGCACCGAAGCGATCGGTCTCAGAGCCCAGCCATTCCAGCAACGTCTGCAGCGCACTTTGCTCCGTTCTCATCGCATTTTGTACCGTTAAAATGTCCTCTTTGATACCCTCCAGTTGGCTGGTGAGTGCGAGTTCTTGCTCCGCAAAGAGCATAATATCGCTGGTGTCTTGTTTAGCACATTGAAGCTCAGCGTCTACACGAACAGCCATGAGAGTCTTCTTGGTTTGGACCATGTCGATCTGATAGGCTGTGGCTCTCGCTTTCAGTTCTGCGACTTGTTGAGCCTGCTTCTCCAGTGAACACAGCTTCGCAGCTAGAAGACTGTTGGCGTCATCTTCGTCCGCGCAACGTGCTGGTTGCGACAATTGCTGCATCTCAAACACTAACCGATCGTAGCGTTCCTCACAAGCTGCTAGATGGCGGTCCGCTGCTAAGAAGGCGTTGCCCTTTGAGCTCTCAACTTTCCATAGTAAATCTTCCTCTGAAATGCCGAGAGAGGCTTTGAGGACGTTGACCTGTTCTTGTAGTTTTTCGAGCTTGTTATCGTGTCGAATGAAGGACGTTCGTGGACTGCAGAGAGGAAGCGCCAAAGAGCTTCCGGCATTGTCGAAGTCATGGGAAGGAGATGCAGGACCAATTGGAGCCACACTAGGTCGTCGACGACCGATCGGGGACATGATAGGCGACGATGTACGACGAGAAACTTGGACAAACACCGGCTCTTGACGCTGTTGCTGTTGCTCGAAAATCGTCGAGTACGTTCTGGATTTCTGTGGGGATTGCTGCATTGGCGTCGAGCGCCCTGAGGTGGTGGATGCCGTACTCGCTCGGCTTGTTTTTGTTGCTGTGACTGCGAGACTTTCAGTGATGGAGGCTCTGCTGTTCTGTTTGGGTTGATGGTTCTGTTGGCGCTGTATTACCCGAGCCGTTCCCAACGACGCGTTAGCTGCGCGATTCATCGCTGTACTTGCTGCCGTTGGCTGCGCAGAGGTGAATCGTTCGTGCTTTGCAGTTAGCCGAGTCGCCCCCGTTTCTCGCTTGGCTGTACTATTCGTTGGAGATGGTGGTTTCTTGCTACATGTCGTACTGACTTTTCGTGGAGGAGCCACTGCAGCTCTGCTCTCCATCGTTGACTGTAGAGAATAAGTCTTTGCAAGCATTCGTCCTCCTGGAGGCACATACACGGTACTACCTCGACGCTCCTCCACCAAATATCTCGATTTTATCCCTTGTTCCGCTGCACTATTAATAGTTGCTCTGGACTCTTGATTAGCAGCGAGATTTGAAGTAGACGTTGAGGAGCTTGCAGCTGAGCTGGTCTCGCGTTTCTTAGTTGATGTCATGGGTAGTGCGGTGCTGCCCACTGTAGCTTTCCTGATAGGAACTTTAACTAGTCCGAATTTGTCGTAGAGTTGTTTCTTGTAGGCAAGGAGCTCCAGACCTTCCTCGTACAGACGTAGACACGCAGCTGCAGCGATGTTGCGCTTGGGGACAGGAGGGTGGGTAGATGCTGAAGAAGAAGAAGAAGAAGATGTGGAGCTAGACAATGAGGCTTGGAGATTCTGCTGATGGACACAATGTCCTCTACGCTGCATACTCTAGTCAACCAAACCTGCAGTCTGACGCAATTGCGGCATCTCGCCAACAAGTTGCAAAATAAGCTGCTATTCTTATGCACTTCAACATTTATTCACCTATAGCAGTACATAATAGCAAAAACTTAACATACTGATAGCTTCACTCATTATGTTGCCATTCTTCGAGCGCCTTGAAGATGCCGGCGCTCCGCCTCGTATGCTCGTCCTGCGGCGTCCCCAGCGCTGGATCCTTGTGCTTTAAGTGCAACGGAGAGCTCTCTACCCCTTCGCTATTCGACTGCGCCAAACTAGGACTTATCCCGGAGCTCCAGGAGCTCGTACAGCAGGTCCGAACCCGTTCTTAACAATTTTCTTCACTTTGAACTAACATGCTATGGTTATAGGACCCGGCTTTCGATATCAATGCATTAGACTCAGCGTCAAACGCCACGTTACTACATCACGCTGCTATCAGCGGCAAAATGGGCGTTATGGAGTGCGTTTTCTAGCATTTTCATCAACTCATCACGCAATTAACGAGGCTTTTGTGGTAGGTTTTTACTCGGGAATGAAGGATTGAGGGCGAAAGTGGATGTAGACGCCCTGGAAGGGGATATGCAAACGACGCCACTGTTCTGGGCAGCCTCCCATAACCAGATCTACGCGGTGGAACTGCTGCTTCGTCATAAAGCAGACTTGAATTTCAGAGATGGCCTGGGGTTTACGCCGTTTTTAGTGGCGATTCAACGTTGTTTCCCCATTACAGCAGCGTATTTGGTGGCTAAAGGCTCAGACATTGACCAACGGATGCAAGGTGAGTGGAGTTTAGCTATTGGATATTGTTTTTTTGTTGCTAAAATGATTTTATTTTAATGCTGAAAAAGATGGAAGCCAGAAAACAGCGTTGATGCTGCTTTGTCAGCCCCAGCAGTTCCACTTGGACACGTTCCGCATGGTACTGAGTCTACAGGCAACGATCAACGCACAAGATGCCGACGGGAACACTGGTAACATCAGGGTTTTAACACGTTTTTTACTCGATAGCTAAACTCTCTAAGCAGAACTGAGTTTATCTTTTCGACAGCTCTGCACCATGCAGCCATGAACAACATCGCGATGGCTGTGCGAATGCTACTAGACGTGAGAGCGGACACGAGTATAGTGAACAAGGACGGACTCACGGCATTGGCCACTGCTCGAGCTCGTCTTCATCCTGACTCAACAGCGTGTCACCTTTTAACGGAGGACGAACAGCTCCAAAATCTAGCGCAAAGGATCTCAATCCGGTACGTTTTGGACGCAGACACAAGTGAATTATCTGCGGTGAACTTACCTTTTTTATGATAGAAACAAACGCTCGAAGACAACGTGTACAAGCTCGCGTTTCTCGTGCCGTGGGTGGTGTTTCCTCTCGCTTGTTACGTGCTCGTGACTGTGAGTGGAGCGCTCTACATCCTGCTGTGTCTTTGCATTCTACTGGCTGCTGCGATGCTGCTGCTTAAATTGTTACAACGAGGTTCCTACGGCGACAAGCGGAAGGCAGCGTCGCTTATGTTCGGGATCAACGTCGCGTCCATCGTGTATCTCGTCGGCAGTTTTCCTCGGTTCAGTGGCCACTGCAGCACTGCGTTCTGTGCAATCTCCGCCGTGTCCTGTGCGTCGATCGGAGTTACGCTGTACAAAACAGCCACGTCTGACCCAGGCGAGGTGTTCACTTCATACGACGAGAAGCTGCGTAACATCCGCCACCTCGTCGAGTCCAAGCTACCCAGCGCGACGAAGCTGTGCCTCACATGTCTACACAAGAGACCGCTACGTGGGAAGCACTGCGCCGAGACGAACTCGTGCATCGCCAGGTTCGACCACTACTGTCCTTTTGTGGTGAATGCCATTGGAGCACGCAACCACGCAGCGTTCCTAGGGTTCCTCTTGTCTGCGGTACTGTCCATCGGTCTGGAACTCATCGCGTGTTGGCGGTTTGCACGCGCTCAACCGGAACTCGTGGCGGACTTTACTGTTCACTGGCAGTACTGGAAGTGGAACACGTCGTTGTGGGTGCTTCTATCGGGCCAAAATGTTACTGTTGTCACCACACCCGGACTGCTAGACTGGATGTGGAGTGTCGCTCACTTCCAGCCATTTCTCTTCTGCGTCATGCTGCTGGACGTCGTGCAGATCGCGTGGATCGCGTACATGTTGTTCTTCCACGTTTATCTCATGAGTGCGGCTCTCACGACGAACGAGGTCGTCAAGAACGAGAATCTCGAGCGCGCGTACTCTCGTGGGATTTGGAACAATATTGTCGACTTTTTGGGTTTGCCAGGTCAACGACCAGTGGATTGGCGTCGCATTTACGATCTGGACGAGTTCAAGAACCAGATTGAGTTGGCGTCACATCAGATGAGGAAGGAGCTGTGAGTTAAGAACATGGAGAGGGGGGGGGTCGTTTTCTTTTAGAAACCTTGCATTTTCGATCAAAGAATGCGCTCGAGACAGCGTAGACGTGCGCTACGTGAGCGGGGGTTGATCGCGATCTCTTCATCCGTAGCTTTGGTGGCTTTTCGACGTGGTAGACGAAAGCGCTTGCTCTTTAATGGATCCACGTCCTCGTCGTCATCATCTTCCCACTCTTCCTCCTCGTCGTCTTCTTCTCCAATTCGCCCCTTCTCGTCCTAAGACCGAAAATAAGACACTTCCAAACTCGTCCACTTCTAGAATTTAGAACGCACCAGTTCGCGGAAAAAGTCCTTAATCGGCCGGTCCTCCAGCGAATGGAACGCGATGGTCACTAGCATCGCCACAAGTTACATCGTTAGTATCTACAGTAGTTCAATACTAAAATATTGATATCGCGATTCTCCTACTTACCGAGTCGCCCATTGGGTGCCAAGTGCCTCACGAGCTGCTTCACGCCACTGTCAACGTGAAAAAGCTCGTCGTTCACGTAGATCCGCAGCGCCTGGAAGCAACGCGTGGCAGGGTGTGTACTTCCCATTTTACTAGCACGTTTGCCCTTCTTCTTCTTCCCTTTATCCCCCGATTTCCACATATTGGCGATTCGTTCAATGCACTCGCGCAGATCTTTCGTCGTCTCAAACACTTTGCCTTTCTCTTCTCGCTCCCTTACAATAGCCTTGGCAAACTCCTTAGCTAGTCGTTCCTCTCCGTAATCCCTAAAGATCTTCGTCAGCTGCACTTCCGACAGGCTATTCACCGCATCGGCAGCGGTCGATAGCGATGCGTCTAGCTGGTTAAACCTCATGTCCAATGGCCCGTCGTTCAGCACACTAAAGCCTCGTCTCGCAGCGTCAAAGTGGAAGCTATTGGCCCCCAAATCAACAAGAATCCCGTCTACTTCATCTGGGAATCTAGCAGCTTCTAAATGCTTTGCCAAGTCAGCGTACGATCCGTTCTGGAAGCTCACGCGGCCATGGAACTCGGACAAGTTGGCTTGAGCAATGCTTAAAACCTCGGGGTCGCAGTCGATACAGAGCAATCTGGCGTCGCTAAAGCGTTGCAAAATGGCCCTTGAATGGCCTCCGAAACCAGCAGTGCCGTCCACAAAGTAAAGAGGCTTGGAAACATCCGAAACATTGCGCGACAAGGCAGTAACAGTCTCTTGCAGCAACACAGGGATGTGTACGGGTGGCTGAGCGCCTTCACTGTCACTTTGACTGGTACTGAACAACGCACAAGACCCGGTAGGTGACACACCGCGCACTAGCGACGGAGACAACGTCCTAGACGCACGCAACGCAGTGGAAGAGCGCAAGCGCAACAGCGTCATTTTGGTCCGCTCGTTTTTCGACTGTTATCACGTTAGACAGGGAATAAGTAAATACATTTGTAGCTTTCCAGTGGTCGTAGCAAAAAATTACACTTCAAAGTTTCATACGCAATTTTACAGTTAAGTTATAAAGCGTCTTAGACCGGAGTCGGAGGCGCCATCCACTTAGCGTAGACGCTACGAGAGCCTTGAGCTGCTTGCATAAGTTCCAGGACTTCCTCACGTGTTAAGTTACGTGGCAGCTCGTCTCCACGCCACAAGAACGAGTGAGGTTTCCGACGTGCATTCACCTCCTGCGTGAGATTTCCAAGAGCGCGGACGTCTACGCAGAGTCGCATCACCCTCGACTTGCCGCCTTGAGCCCGCTCGAAGCGCACCACGTTGCTCTCCACCAAAAAGTCCAGAGATTGCTTGATACTCTCGCTACACAGAGCTTCAGCGTGACCCAGCTGTTGACGCAGGAACAATTCCTTCGCCAACACTTGCACACGACGTACAACATCGCGCTCTGTGTGTTCCACATCCTCGTCAAGAAGACTCCAAATTCCCTGAGTCGTGAGCCACAGCGAGTCCATGAACGACCAGTTCAACGACAGCACGAAGCTCGTCAACTTTGAATTGTTCCAGCTCTTCACATCCACCGTCACGGTGCCCGAAGACTCGTCCACTTGACACTCGGAAGCCTCCGAGAAGAAGTGGTCCACGCGAGCGTCAACGTCAATAGCTTCGTGACGACAAATGTGGCGTAAGAAGTTCCAGATCATCCGAGCTTGTTGTTTCACCGTCCAGATATCCACTTTGTGACTTGCGTAACTTTCGTCACATTTAGAACGTTGACGTAGAGCAGCATCCAGAGCTCCAAAAAGCGCCATTTCAGGCAGGAAAATGTGTAACAAGTGGTTACGATAGAAGCCGAGCTCCAACGCTCGCACTGGGTACTGCAAATGGGGAGTCACAACGCCGTTTGCTTTCGTCTCTACGTTCAAAACTGCCAGCGCGTGTTCAGCGATGTCATCGTTCTCCACGTGAGCTACAGTGGCTCCTCGTTTCTCCAGCTCCTCCACGAGCCACACAGTGCGTGTCTCCAGCATTTCTTGCGTCACATACGCGCGCTTCCACATGAGCAACGCAGCCACAATCGCAGTCGACGTGATGGTTCCAGACGTCTGCATGCGCTCAGCTACCAGCTCCGAGGACGTCTGAAGTGACGACGTTTCAGTAAGAGGCACAGGCTCTCCAAAGCGCACGTACGAGTGGCCAAGACGGAGGAAGAAGAGATCCCACACAGACCGAAGCAACACAGCCAGACTCTCCTTCTCCTTGGGCTTGCCGAGCAGCTGGTTGGCGTATCCATCGACCTCGTAGACCTTGTCATAGTCCAGCGCGATGGGGACGACCAAGACCGTCTTCTTCTCCTTGTTGACGTCTTCATCAGACGCTGCTTTCACGTAGTTGAGGAACATCGACATGAACCCCAATCGGGGTTTACACACTCGCCCATGACGTGATCGTCCACCTTCGATAAAGACTTCCACAGGGTTCCCGTCCTCCAGTAACTCGTGTACATACTGTTCCAATACCTCTTTATACAGATCATCGTCCTTGAACGACCGACGGATGAAGAAGCTGCCGTTAGCACGTAGAAACGAGCCCACAAGAGGCAGATCCAGGTTGTTCCCAGCTGCGATACGAGGCAAGGGGATGCCATACGCGAAGCACAAGTAGCTGATGATCAGATAGTCCAAGTGGCTCTTGTGGGTGGGCGCAAACACGACGCTCACGTCTCCCTCGGACGCTTCCAGTACGCGACGTACATGATGGAGACTCTCCAAGTCCACGTGAAGCCCGTTAAAGAGAAGCCGCCACGTCTTCGTGAGCAACCAGCCCAGACAGCGAACAGCAGGCATAAACATATCGGACTTTAAGCCCTCAAAGATCTGAGTGACGCGTTTCAACTCCGTTGGGTTCGACGCTTTGACTCTCTCGACGAGATTTCGGTGGTGAGTACCAGCAGAAGACGGAGGTCGTCCCAGTAGATTCACGTCCACTCCAGAGCGACAGATGAAGAGTAAATCCAGTACAGCCAGTCGCACGTCGGCCAGTTGACGTGCGAGGCCTGGTGGGGTCTTGATGGAGCTCTGTGTCATCAGAGAGCTCGCGGTCTCGGCGCAACGCTGGTCGATGGACGACAGCAGCCACGTCGGCTCCATCACGTTGACGAAGCCGTGCTGGCGTGTACAGTCGCTCTCGTCGTCGTCGCAGTCCTGTAGTAAGGGCTCTTCCGACGGCAGCGTCGTCCAGTCCTGCTCCAAGGTCCATTTGTCCATCTGCTCGGTCTTAAGGTGCAGAGGAGCGCTCTTGGGCTGTTCTGCGCTGATCTCCTTGGCCTGGAGAGCCACGGCTAGCGCCATACTGGACGTGGCCACAACGCGACCGGAGGCTTTGGCTGCGTGTTCTTGCTGCTGACTCGCGTCCGCCCTCTTGAGCAGCTTGCGCACTTTGTCTTGGTACTTTTGATAGCGCAGCTGCAGCCTTAACGCGGCTCCATTGGGCACCAGAAGGAGGCGTAAGTGCGCGGGAAGCTTCGGTCCACTCGGCGCAACTAACGGAGCGCTGCGCCATTCATCCAAGACGTGCTTCTTCCCCATCGGCTTAAGCATCGTGTCTGCCGGAATGTTGGCGAGTGAGCTGTTGGTGTGCGGCAAACACAAGCGGGCTGCTATGATGAAATGTGAAATCTTTTTAAGCTGATAGCTGACAGACATTTGAGAGCAGTACTGATAGTGACAGCATTAAATGGATACTTTATATAACGATAATAAGCGACTTCTAATTGGAAACAAATTATTGTTTGCATTAAATGTAGCAGTTTTTTTACCAGCATCAACGTGACCGTTTCCGGTGTCCCAGACCTTTGCTGCCACGAGTGAAAACGTACAACTACAATGAAACCCCATTAATCTAATTGGTGTGCGACTGCTCTGTGTATTTTGCTGTGTGAATCGCAAATTGCACAATGGATTGGAAAAGGATGAATCCTTGCGCTCACAAATTTAAAGTTTTAGCTAAAACTGTCTGCTGCAGTGGCTGACGCGGCGGCGAGCTAGATTAGTACCTTTTTAGAGCGAAAATTTTCGGCCAGAGATATCAAAATCTGCACATAAATCGACATTAGAGGACAGAGAGCAAGACGAACTGTCGTGCGTGGTAAATAACACCATCGTCGACGTTGAAGTGATAATTTAGATTTTCAAATCTAAAACTCCCTGATCTTGTCACCCTGTTTCTACCCTAATCTGGGATTTACACCTGAGTCAGTCGCGAGCTATAATGGACGCCAGTCCACCGAGCCAATTTTAGAGGCGACGCTGCTTGGACGAACAGCTCCATTTCCCCGTCGCCCACCGCCACTGGCCGGTCCTCTTCGCTCTGCAGCATCATGTCGCGTCTGTTGTGGCTGCTCGCCGCCTTTTCTCCTCTCGCTTCAGCCACCTGCTCGTCCTGTGACGTACCCACAGCTGCAGCTTTGACCTTCTGCTCGCCCTTCGTCACGTACTCTGCCTGTCGCTCCGGGGGCTCATGGACTGACATGGCTAGTAAAAGAATGCTACATATTCCAGTACCGCTTTTTAACTTTTGTGTTCTCAGGATGCCACTGCCGAGGAGCAGTACAAGAAGCTGGTGAATGCCACAACCATAGCCAGTAGCTGTGAGACGGCATTGAAGCGAACCCAGTGCATGGCAGTCTTCAACGTGTGCGAGATGGGAACACCCGAGACTTTGTGTCTTGATAGCTGTGTTGACGCTATTAAGACGTACTGTATCGCCACTCAGTCAACCTTAAAAGCACCTGCCTGTGGAGACGACAGCAGTCCCATCACTGGCATCAGTGACGAGGGCAAGTGCTTTGACACCGACTACAATGGACCAGAAAAAGCCATTTGGGTCATTGGGTTCGCTATCGCCGTGGTATTCTCCTTCCTGGCCAGTGTCGGTATCAATTTACAGAAGAAAGCGCTGAAGCAGAACGAACTTATGGCCGAGCCCAAGCCAGCGTATCGATTGCCACTGTGGATGTTAGGCTTCATCCTGTGTGTCGTGGGGTCTGTTCTGGACTTTGTGGCCTTTGGCCTCGCGCCTCAAAGCCTGTTAGCTCCTCTGGCAGCGCTTACTCTCGTGTGGAATATGATGCTCGCCCCATGCTTCAACAAGGAGAAACTGAGCAGGAAAGACATCGTCTCGACGCTGATAATCTTCGTGGGGGCGACAATCGCCGTCGTCTTCGCGTCCCACACGTCGCCGTCGTACAATCTGGAGATGCTCATGCAGCTCTACCGCGATCCGCTCACGATCGTCTACTTCTGCGTCGTCTTCCTGACTGTCGTGGCCCACTTTGCAGCTATCAAAGTGGTCGATAACTTGTGTCTGATGAGCAAACGACATCGAATTATCCAAGTGGGGACGCCAGCCATGTGGTCGACGATCCGTCTCGTGGGATATGCTGGTCTCGCAGGAACCTTAGGCGGCCAGTCGGTTCTATTCGCCAAATCGACCGCCGAGCTGCTCAAGGGCGTTTTTAACGGAGACGCCAGCTGCTTCGTCCACTACCAGACGTACCTCATTGCTCTGGCGCTGGCAGTCTGTCTGGTTCTGCAGATCAAGTACCTCAACGGAGGACTCGTCCACTACGACGCGCTGTCGATGGTCCCAGTGTATCAAGCCTATTGGGTCATTAGCGGAGTGCTTGGTGGCGTCATTTACTTTCAGGAGATCCGCACTTTCTCAGTCTTACAAGCTGTCATGTTCGTGTTGGGAATCGGTATCAGTATCTTCGGTGTTGTACTTCTCTCACGCCGTAAACACGCACCGTCCACTGTGTCAACCAAGGGCAAAGTGGAACGAGGTTTCAGCTTCACAGCCTCGTCGGATTATAAGCTGGAGCCGCCCAAGAGCTCAGAGTCTCGCTTAACTCGCGTCTCGGATGGCACCACTAGTGACGTTGTTGTGGTGGAGGAGACGGAAAGGAGCAGATCGGATAGTACAAGTACCAGTCGAGAGCTACTCGCGTCCATTCTGGAAGCGCTGAATGAAGAAAGCGCCACTGAAGAATCCGACGACGACAGCAACGAGCGCCGCAGTGAGAATGAGTCGTCGGAGCATGTGAATCGCCAGGCAATCGACAATTATCTCGACATGTCCACGACTGTGGGGCTGTCGGAGATTCTTGGTGGTCTCTGGCTAACTCGATCGCAAGACAGCGGGCTGCTTGGTCGACGAATGTCCAGTCGGTGAGTGCCCTACGATGATTCACTTTAAGAACCCTAGTACTAGTGCTAACTGTTATTGGTTGTGTGTTTCACAGACCTTCACGACGACGTACGCGACGAAGTGTGGACGACATTGAGGTGGGACTACCAGCTGCTACACGTGAGGCCAACCCACGCAAGCCATTGCCAAAACGCCGCTCGATTACGTTCTCAAGTTTCAGATCTTCATCCAAGAAAGATGACAGCAAGGATTTGGTCTAAACCCCTCCGGCCTCTTCTAATATACTTAAGTACTCTAGATTATCACAATGATTGCTGGTCGTTTTTGAGATCGGGGCGAGAGTCGTCGATAGCTTTCGTGACGTTTCCACGCATGCATCTAGAAAGATGAAGCAGGTCAACGTCGTGGTATCATGTCGAAAATAAGCTGAAGAGCGATGGCAATGCCATTGGCATGCAGTTTTGACCATCACGTCACCGAATGATAGTTCGCTCTGTAGAACAGTACATGCCCGACGCAGTTTTTGATTTCAGCACCACGTTGTCCAGCAGCACTGCTGCACAGCGACTAAGCTGCCAAACTCGAAAAATCTCGGCCAACTCGGTAGTACTGTAGAATTGTTTGTAGAATGCAGTCGGGTATTCCAAATGAATGTCTCGATTTCGCCACGATCAAACCCTCCGACGCTTTTCGTTTTTGCCAAAATCCCGAAGCGACATTGCGCTGTTTTTTTTATCTTCCGTTCCATACACACGAAATGTGCCACCGTCACATTCCTGCTGGACATCGACAATTACGCGCACCCAAAGGCAAACAAAAGACCATAAAACAACTTGGAAGACAATCAATCACACGCAAACGCTATCCGTCTATAGTAAATGCTGCTGTAATATGTTGGGGGTTCACTGGCCACACTAAGTGGACAGTACTCTCTTGGTACCCTCTATTTTGCCTAAAGCGAAGAGGGAGTCTGCTCATCTTCCTACACTTAATCCGCGGGCGACAAGAAGGACGCGAGAGTGCCGAACAACATCAAGATGATAGAGAGCCCTGCTAGCCCAGCGTTAAGCACAATCTCGCCCTTCGACAGGCGGTGCGAGAAGAGTTTGAGGTAGCAGACACACGGCAGAAACACCGACACCAGCATCGCGAAGAAGGCACCCAGGAACGACGTCACACGCGCAAAGTGCGGCACGAACAGTGCGCAACACAGAGCTCCCATACCGAGCGTCGTGCGGATAAAAGCTCGGTAGAACACCAGCGTCTTGCTCGGTTTATTCCTCGCAGCAGCTCGTTTCTGGCTCGGCGACAGCAGGAATTCTTCAAGCGCCAAAGCTACCGGGTGCAGGGTAATAGCGATCTTACTCATCGGGTTCAACGCGATCGTCCAGACTACCATCTGGGTCAAAACACCTGGGTAGGACGCGATGAGGTTGAGTGTGATCTCCTTCTGGGTAGCCACTCCAAACATGAGGTAACCAGCGAGTTCAATGGCGCCGTACACAAGTCCCACAATAAAGTATGAGAGGTTGAGTACCCGCGGGTAGTCCTTCTTGTTCGCCATGGAGCTGCAGATGGACGGGAAGACCGAGTGGCCGCCGAATGCCACCATAGTGAGGCCAATAGCCAATGGGATCCGATCCAAGTCGCCAATCACCTGCAAAGGCTGCGGATGCACCAAACTGCCCATTGTGTAGTCCGGAGCACGCGTGTCGATGGCGAAACCCACGTAGAAAATCGTGTAGAGACAGAAAAATGACGATAAGATGCCCAAAATGCTGAAATATGACAACATGGACATGTGCGTCGTCCACATGGACGGCATGATAAGCAGAAACGCCATAACAGTCAACTGCGTCTCTGTACACGACGGAATCAACGCCGCTAGCGTATCTCCAGCTGCAAATAATAACAACTAAGAATTAGTTCACAATAATTGCAAAAATTGGAAATTATCAAACTTACTTAGAACGAAGAACATGGCGCAGGCAGCGAATAATTCAGCGAAGAACGTGACGCCAATGATGACTCGACCTCTGGTACCGAAGGCCGCTTCGCCGATGTCTGGGTACGCGGTCATTCCCTCTTGATAGTCAAGACATTGGCCTAAAAGCTTGGCTGTGTGGTTAGTTACCAGCGTGAAGAAGAGGAAGAGCGGCCCACCAATGAGCCAGCCACTCGAGCGCAACGAGAAGGGACTGGAGAGCACACCCACTCCCAATAGGACGTTGATGGCATTAAAGACCGCGTCCTTAAAGCTGCTGGTGCCTTGAGGCGTAGCAGCTCCAGTGCTGCTGGCTGGAGACCAGACCACGTCTCTCTGCTGCTGCAAGAGCCTCTGTCGCTCAGTATATGGGCTGCTGTTGAAGGAACTGACGTGGCGAGGCGTCAATGACGTCGCCACAGGTGCCGCCATGCTATAATCACGGGAAATTAGACGCCATACCCGCATAATAGCAACAACCTGGAGGAGCGTACCGAGCGTCGAGACCCTCTTCGAACGTGGCAGGCCATGCCGGTGCCGTCTCTTGGCCGAGTACTCGTGCACGAGCTACGGACGGAGAGTAGGAAGGCAGCAGAGACTGGTGCTCTCCAGTACTTGCGGAGCCCATGATCAACTACAGCAGCTCAACCGGCGGGTTTGGCGCAGCTAATCGGAGAATGAATTAGACCGCCGGTCTCAGCAATGCAGGGTGGCAAAAAAATGGGGTGATGGGGGCTCTGTGATTGGGTGGCCAAGCGTCGCGATTAATTGAAATTCCACTTCAACACTGCTTGGACGCCGAAAAACGGTTCCTGTTGAGACGCTGCACTCCTTTAGCGAATGGCTCGTGGAGGCTGCGGTGCGTGACATCAGAGCGCGTTTCTCCGCCACCGACGCAAGGTGCATTCTGCTGGTGCATTCGCTTCCGACATCAGGATCACTGCAAATCGGGACATTGAACGAGAGGCAACCAGGAAGATGCGGCGCCTCGGACGTTGGACAAATAATTGGCCATGGAAATCGAAGCTGCTGTTGCTGCCCGGTGATGAAATAATTCATGGGCGTCATTCGAATAGTTTTATGCAGCAATGACAACGGCGCGATCGTGGATTGAGAAGGTTGTGAAACATTGGCCTCTTACGTCTCGACGACATGGCCGATGGGAATACGCTTCACTTTGATCGGTTATTCATGGACCACCCAACAACTGACGAAAACAACGGGCTGGACGAAATCTGTCCGCAAGGATTATTATAGTTAAGCCGGAATCTGGACGCGACAGATCCTGCGGGAATCGGCACTAGCTCGAATGTCAAAATATGTTTGTATGTACAAGTACGAAGTACTTCGTAATGGTCTTGTGGTACATGTATGACCACGTAACTCCATTCAAATACTATTATTATCCATAAATGCAGCCGCTCTGGAGTCACTGCAGTTTCCTTAGCGGACTCGACGAGAAGCAGAAGCACGTCGATTGCTGTACGCACTGATAGACAATAGACAAATCAACGCGTTCCTCAAACATCATTATTAATTACTAACGCCTCTTTTAACAAGAACCGGCACTTCTGTGCTATTTCGTGACGCCGCAAAACACCACTGGCATGCCTTCAGACCTGAGCGATCCCCCTGAATCCATTGCAAAATGCTGCTAGGTGCACATCGGATAGCATCACGAATTCTTCGCTGTGAGTTTGTATCTTCAAACCGGGTACGCGTAAGAATCCACCAGATCAGCTTTCTAGCATCTTTTTGGAGGGCCTCCAGCACGAGCTGCACACGAGCTGACTCCGATACCCACTGCGCAATCTCTAAATGACGGTATTGCAAGGTCAATTTCAGAGCACTTCTGAGCGTGAGAGGTGGTCCATGTTCCACCAGCCAGCGCAACATTGCCACATCCCCGTTTTTTCCAGCTTCTTCCAACAATATCGAGGTAATCTTGAACCCGTGGTCTGAAAGCCAACGCGCCGTATTGAGTTGGCCTTTTTGAACAGCTAACTCGAGTAAGTCGACGTCACACATCTGGAAATTATTCGCATAAAACCACTGTAACATCTTGACGTTTCCTCGACTGACTGTGTCACGAATAGGAATTGATGTGCGTAGCTCAACCCCAAGCAGGTTCAGCCAGTCTAAAATCTCGATATTGCCTTTACGGACAGCAGTTTCTGCTAGACAACTCAGACAGTCTTCAACAAAAGTCGGCCGCTTCTTGTAAATTGACTGCAGGATGACTATTGAAGCATCACTCGTTTGGTCCTGACGACTATTTCTCAGCGAGCATTGCACCACAATATTCGGCGGAGTTGCCCCGCTAGAACTTGGAAACCCTTCGCCTCTGTGTTCCATCAGGTACAACACAACGTCCAGATGGCCATTGCAAGCAGCACCGTCCATTGCATGTCCTGTACAACCTTCGTTTCTGTTCTCATTTAACCATCGCACTACATCAAGATGGCCGTTTTGAGCTGCTGCATCTATCGTTTCTGGGACGAATTGATCCGGGTAATGTGCATGGAACCACTGAACAATTTCCAAATTACCAAACGCAGCTGCACAAAATGGTGCCATGGTCGTGCATCCTTCTCTTCGATGCTCATGTAGCCACTTAATAATATCTAAATGACCGTTACTCGCAGCGGCACCCATTACATGGATGGAGAACGCACTCGGTAAATGCTCATGTAGCCATCGAAGTGCTTCCAAGTGCCCTCGTTCAGCTGCATCCGACCAATACCATTGATCCCAACTGTAATATTTGAAGTTTTCAAAAAGCCACTTGACGACTTCAAGGTGTCCATTATTCGCAGCGAAATGCAGCGCCACTGAGGAGCAATCTTCGTATCGATGTCGGTGTAGCCATTTCACTACTTCCAGGTGCCCATTTTTAGCCGCCTCGTCCATCGCAGACGTCGTACAAGTAACAAGATGGTTTGACTGTAACCACTGTAACATTTCAAGTTGTCCATTTTTAGCTGCTTTATCCACTGCGAAAATACTACATGTACAGCTTTGCCCACTGATGGTGTACAGCCATTGTGCGACTGCGAGATGTCCATTTGCAACAGCTCGGTCCATCGGCTTACCAAGCCGCATACACACATCCGTACTCGTGCTATAAATCCACTTCGTCACTTCTAAATGTCCGTGTTCTGCTGCCAATTCCAGGGCATCTGACGAGCAATGATCAAACAGCAGACTCTTCTCGATGTATCCGGGCGATTTCAGAACCCCCCGCACGGTGTGTCTGTCCATTCCTCGCTCGTACAGCCACTGGACAACTTCTAAATACCCTCCCGCAGCAGCAAGCTCCAGCGCACTTTCAAAGTCGTCTTTCCAAGGACCGCGTTCACCCTGCGCGACCATCCATCGAAGTACATGAAGATACCCACCTCGCACTGCCGCCTGGACAGCTTCCTTCCAAACTGGCGTGGTCTCCTGAAGTAAAACATCGAGCGTGTCTCTGGATGCACCTTCTTCACAAGCAGCTGTGAAGACCTCGCTACAGAGGAACGGAGTCAAAAACTCACTAATAGATCTCACAACATGGAGTAACCCGTCGTCGTTGAGCGGAAGACAATTCTTCACCACATATCGTGCAATAAAGCGCATTCGTTCCGTCCGCCGAGAATAAATTTAAAGTGGACGGAGCATCATATTTCAATCGTGTGGTGCTCAAGTCCATCAATGTGAGAAATTGGCCGCATTTTCCGTGAAAATGAAAGTCTTGGGCTGACCAAGCGATCTGATGGAATTTGCCTTCTCGTGGGCAGTTTTCAAAGTGTTCCGCTACGGAGGATGATGGTGAAGCTATTCTGTATGTTTGCTGGTTTGGAAGAGAGGGTGTTCTTTGTAACTATACACTCGAGTCGGTCGGTGGGCCATCTAAAAAAATCTATCCAGGCGAAGAAGCCCTGGACGGTCACAGGTTGTGCCCACGATCTTGTGCTATTTCTGGCTAAGAAGGACAATGTGTGGCTGGATGAGGCTAGCGCAGCAGCGTTGAAGCTCGATGAGCATGGGCATCCGCTAGGCTTGGAGAAAATGTGGCCCACGCGGGCGATCAAGAGCGCCAGGTACTTTGGGGAGGAATTCCAACCGGATGATGGCCACGTTCATGTGCTAGTTGTGGTTCCAAATGCTTACCCTGAGTGGAGTCTTCGCCTTCGTAAAACCTCTGAGCTTGAATTATTTGCGGAAATGGCAAGCAAAAGCCGAAATTCCGCAGAAGTGAGAGACGTGGCTGATATGCTGATGAGGATCCATGAAGACTCAAACCATTTCCTCAGCTTTTCGACGTCGTCCGTTTTGCTGGAAAACTCATTGAATGCCGACGCCAAGACGCAGTTGGCGTTTAAACTGATGGCCACTGAGGCATTTGATCTCTTCTACGTGGTATGCAGCGGTCCAGGCGAGCTGAACCAACAAGTATTTGCTGCTTTTGAAGATCGAAGTGCAACTTTGAAGATGTGCCTAGAACAAGACGAGACGGCGGTGGGAAATGGGTCTGTCGAAGGGACAGAGAGTCTGATGTTGTACAGTTTCATCTATGCGGCACTATGCGGAAATGACAAATTTTACGCCGATAAAAAACCACGGTGGGCGGTAAGGGCAGTTCTCGAAAAGCGCCGCAAAAACAAGACGAAGCCATTCGTTTTTTTCCTTGACAATTTCCCTTGTCTGGATGATTTGGAAGCCGGAGAAAAAGAGAGGAAAATGGCGCAAATGGTATTGAATGTCCTGCGATCCCTTCGTATTCCGGTTGTGGTAGCCGCTCACAGCCAGAGTTCGCTTTGAGGTAATAAGTCGATCATATATCTAAAAGTTAATTTTGGGTTAATTTGGCAAGGATTTTGACCTCCTTTACAAGTGCCAGGGCTCACCATATATCCCTATCATAGTTTACTGTATACTTAGTACAGAAAGGCTGGCAGGAAATGGGTATTTCGGATCTGTAGCAGCCAGGTAAGAAGTTATTATAATACAAGTAGCCCCTATGTACTCGAAAAATAAAAACAGGCTTTTAATCCTCATCGTAACTTCGTTTGTTTTTTACTTGTGAGGAACAATGCATAAAGCTACCCGTTCTTCAAATTTATAACTCGTATTTTTTTTCAAGAATCGACAACTAATCTGTGATTCGGCAACACACCATGTGCATTCTTGACCACGGCTTCGTTACCACTGCAACATGATCAGCTCAGAAGCCTCGCACTCTCCAAAAACACACTGGCAACGTGAGAAATCTCCCAGCTTGAACACAACTGTGACTCGATTTGGCGTGCGAGAAATGTCCTCAAGTCCCCCAGTCCTCGTTCCTCGGATGTCAACAACGACAAACTCCGTCACTGGAAGTGCACTATTCAAATCTGCAGCGTTTAGTCTCGTCTCGAGTTCGTCGATCTCCTCTCCATTTAGACGCACATCAATTCCCCAGTGGAGATCAGCATTAACATAAAAATCAAACTCGTCTCCGACACGATGGGTGGCACTTGGGAACGTCCGAGACATATCTGGGCAAATGGGGCAGCTCGGGAGTGTCCAAAGTAAAAGGCCACTCATGAACTGACTCAAAAATGAGGCTGTAGTGAGCGGAAACTCGTAAGTTGGGAAGATCGAGTG